TTTAAGTCACATGTATATGTATTTGTGTATATTTTATAGTTCATTTGTTGATATACCGCCTTTCTGTAAGGTTTGTGATTTCTTCCTGAATTTATTTATATTTATTTATTTTAAACATACCCCTTGAGCAAAAATGGATTCGTCCATAAACGCCCTGCGTATAATTGGCTATGTAGGCACAGGGTTGAGGCATGCACTCTAATTTATATTGTTGTAAACACCATGATAATTGAAATACTTGTTTTCCAGAAAGATTTCGTTGAAAAACGGTCGGCCATCTTGAAATTCAAAATAGCCGCCATCTATGGTCCATGACAATATTAAAATCAAATAGGTTGACATTTAAAACATAGGGTTAGCACTTGAAATTATGTCAATATCTGCTATAATAGTAGAGTTATAGTCATTTTTATTGTTAAAATGGCAGCCATTTTGAAATTCCAATATGGCGGCCAAGACGTTATCGAAAAAAAAATGGACCCTTGCATTAAAAATAATATTGCTTTGGGCAAGCCTATCTCGCGAAATGACACTAGGGACCACACTTTCTCGGTCGACTAATGTGGGCTATTTTTAGGAAACCCGGATACCTAATCGATAATCAATAATTAGTCCACCTTTCCTAATTCGATGAATGAACTTATGCTAGTTGTTTCATTTCGTCATCGTCTGATAATAAAATAATTTTTTTTTCATCATTTTTTATTACAAATCTCATATAAATTTACAAAAGAATGTACATAAAAACCCAGGTCAATAACTGAAAAATTTCAGATATATGCAGGGTAAAACAAAATTTACGAATAATTCACAAAACAATACTTGATTGAATAAACTGATTTAAAATTTCAATTAACCAATTTTCTTAAACTTCAACAAGTGAAGTGTCATCCTACGTGGTTTAATGACGGGCGTTATTATTTTTATTATTATTATTATTATTATTATTATTATTATTATTATTATTATTATTATTATTATTATTATTATTATTATTATTATTATTATTATTATTATTATTATTATTATTATTATTATTATTGTTATTATTATTATAATGACGATAATGATAATTATAATGACAATGATGATATTGATGATAATGATAATAATAGCCGGTAATGTTAATAATACTTACAATGAAATTAAGATATATGAAATCGGCCAAATGATCTCTGATGTATTTTCTTTCAACTTTTTACCTTTTTCGAGAGTCATATTGCTTTATCGTCTGAAAACAAAACAAAAAAGTATTAGTGTTTGTTTACAATATAATATGTCTACTGAAACACATTATAGCCTAACTTACCATGGAAATATGCAATTCAAATACAGGCGTCAGTGTAACATTTAGATTCTTTGGAGCTGAAATGGAATGACGGACTATACTATAAAATTATCATGACCTAGGTTTTATATAAACATCTATAACACCTGACATGTACAGTATTGATTTTTCATGCAGTCGTTCCAGCTGCTGACGATACAAAACAAAAATACAATTTACGATTTACTTGTAATGTTCTGTATATACATCGTTGTGTTGCACATTGGAAATTCCAGCACAATTAATTGAGAGTATTATTGTACTGCGGAATGCGCTTAAATCAATGCTCTCTTTCATATTATTATTTTTTGTAGGATGGGAAAATCCCACTGCGATGAGGAAAATAGTTTACCATTGTTCTTAATTAGGCATTAATGCCATATAAAAACCAAACAACTGGGCTTCTAGGTTCATAAGGCCTGTTGCAACCGAAAATGTAGAAAACAACAGTGTGGTGCATTTAGAGGTTGTAACAAGGCCTAAAAATGATGAATGAAGAGACGATCAACTGTTGTTTTCATATGGCTTCACACCTACGTGCTTTTTTATAAACACTAGGTCTGGCCTACATACTAGCCTACCTCTGTTTTACCAAGAAGATTCTATAATATATAACATAGCAATATTGATTTTCCATAGAGTTATGCTCTCTGTGCAAATAAATATTTAGCAATATTCTACTTGATGTGGAAATTTACGCCATTTTATTGCAAACAATAGCACATTAAACAATACATAGACCTACATTTGCATTATGTCACTTGCTCTACATTTTTTTATATGGTTTACGACCAAAGTTTGAGCTCTACGTCACTTACGTCAACTCTTAAGCCACAGGAAGCTGAAATCAGTGAATACGACCTAAAATTTAAATGCGTCAACTCCCGACAATGCTGTCTCTTATACACATCTAGATGTGTATAAGAGACAGATATAGGACCACTCGCTACGCGCTGTTTAAATTTTTATTCGTGTGGGGAAAATCCCAACATTATGCATGATGTCTTATGGTGACATCATGCATAGGCCTAATTATATAGCCTACCTGAAAACATCACACATACACCGTGTGACTAATGTGATGTGACGTTAGCCAGCAGGCTGAGGTTTAGTAGAATAAGAAGAATCTTTACTGAATATTAATCATTATTTAATAAACAACTTTTATACAATAGGCTATACATTAGGCCTACAATGCAAACATGGGAAAAATATATCTAATTCAATTAAATACAGTATATTATTACTATCCGCCACCCTTTCTCTTTTTCTGGAATGTAGGCCTACCATGATAATTTTGTTTGAAAAAAGCAATACGAAACAATAAAAATAATAAATCAAACTTTAGCAGTCATGTTGATTGGAAATCACCTCTAGTTTATTTGTAAAAAACTTCCCGCACGTCCACCATTAAAGAGTGTTTTTAGAGCTTCTCAACGGAGCTAATAATGATAAGAATAATAATAATAATAATAATAATAATAATAATGTTAATGATAATGATAAAAATAATAATATTAATAGTAATAATAATAATAATAATAATGGTAATAATAATAATAATAATAATAATAATAATAATAATAATGATAATAATAATAATAATAATAATAATAATAATAATAATAATAATAATAATAATAATAATAATAATAATAATAATTGGCACTTACGTCTGCCTAAACAAAAAAGATCTATTACGAAAAAGATTATTACCTAATAATCATCAATCAGCAGAGTACTCATGGGGCTGCTGATCGGAGCTAAAAATGTTTTCATCAAAGGTTCATGATTATAAAATCATACCAGGAAAGTATGAAATCTCATACCAGATTTATTTTCTTGTTTTTACAGTGGTTTCAGGATATTTTTAAAAGAAATTAACGTGGTAAAACCTCTCAAGTCTTTTATCACGTAAATTAACAGAAATTTTTATAAGGACCTTTTTTTTCTCTTTTTCTCAGGTTTGCTGGATCCGCCCCTAATAGCGATTGATCGAATGAATGATTGTTTGATAATACTTAATTATATTGGCAAAGTTTCATTGGAACTTAGATTAATACGTTCATGATTAGGCATGAAATGTACGCTAATGAAATGCACATCGCAAATGATAAGGTTGTTAATTTAGGAATTTTCATAAATATATGTATTATTTAATTTTCCAAAAAAAGTCATAAAAATATGTTTTATGGTATTTTGAAGTCAAACCATCATACACATCATTTGATAGATAATTTCATAGCTGTCGTATGATACCAAATATATTCAGATTGAATCATTTAGTAACGTACTCGTTTCAAAATACCGTTTTGAGGTAAAAAGTGTAAAATTTAACATATCGCGGGAGATGACCTTAACATACTATAACTCCAAAATAAAAATGGATAATGTCTGAAATTGTTATAGTTGTTTTATTTTGTATTAGTCAGTTTTTGAGAAAGTATCATACGAAAATTTGTAGCTTATTAATTTTAATATTTATTTTAATACGTTATTACATTTTGCCAAAAATTCATAGAAAATAGGGTTGTTTTGTTTTGTTTTTTTGGTAACTGTGTGTTCACAAAATCAATATAATATGTCCTCATATACATCATTTGATAAATAATTTTGATAGCTTTTGTATGATACCAAACATATTCCAGTTAAAGCTATAGACACCTGTATATTGCTGTCTATAAAACGAAGACCCTTAAGTATTTCTTGATATTCCTTATTTTATTCCGATGAAATAGGTATTTGGCAACTGTTTTATGATGATTTTGAAATATTTAATATGATAATTGAGAAATAATTGGAGGTCTTCGTTTTTAGGGTCTTCGGTATTCATTTTATAGACACCCATATAGAATGTTTATAAAACGAAGACCTTTGATAATTTCACAAACAAAAGTTCAAATTACCTCGTAATTATGATTTTGTGACAGCCTGGGGTATTATCATTAAAAAATAAGAGAAGCAAATGTGGGTCTTATTTTTTCGGGTCTTCGGTTTCGTCTTGTAGACACCCATATAGGGTATCTATAAAGTATTTCTTGATATTCCTCAGAATTTTTATTCCAATGAAATAATGAAATAGGTACTTGGCAAATGTTTTATGATGATTTTGAAATACTTTTAATAACATAATTGAGAAATAATTGGAGGTCTTCGTTTTGTAGACACCCATAGGCCTTGATAATTTCACAAACAAAACAAAATTTCAAATAATTTAGTAATTATGATTTTGTGACAGCCTGGTGCAATATTATTTTAAAAAGAGAAATCAAATGTGGGTCTTCATTTTCGGGTCTTCGGTCTTCGTTCTGTCAACACCCATATAGGGTGTCTATAAAACGAAGACCCTTAAGTATCTCTTGATATTCCTCATTTTATTCCAATGAAATGATAAAATAGGTATTTGGCAATAATTTTATGATGATTTTGAAATACTTTTAATAAGATAAGTGAGAAATAATTGGAGGTCTTCGTTTTGGGTGTCTATAAAACGAAGACGCTAAAAATTTCACAAACAGACGTGTGTGTGTGTGTGTGTGTGTGTATATTTTCTAAATTTTGTGTAGGACGCCCCCTATTTCGTGGCAGTACTTTTAGATTTTTCCATTGCCTGCATACCTTGCTGCATACAAAATCGAGCAGTCGGACTTCTTGCAGTTTTACACTCTTTGGTAAAATGTAAAACTACGGTACTCCATAATAATTTTGAAGCGTTGTAATCATTTTTATGATATATCGAGTACATCAAAATAATTTATATAATATACCGGAAGTTCAACTTATATTTACAATCGATCATGATATTTAATTATTGTGCAAATACAAGACCATGGTAATTAGAGATATGATTTAAAAAGTATATTTAACAAGTCTGCAATTAACACCCTTGGTTCTTTATTATTATAGATACTTAGTATGCATAGATAAATAGGCTAATCATTTTACAGTTTTATAAGTATCACTTATTTGCTCACTGTCACCTTTATTTTTGATAAGATAGAAGATATTATAATGATTCATGATGTTTTCCATTATTCTCGCTGATGAAGGCCACTAGAGTGGCAGAAAATATCAGTATTCTTAAAGTCTACTTTTAAAGCTGTTTCATTTTTTTCTATATATGTATATATATATATATATATATATAGATATATATATGTGTGTATATATATAATACACTAATATCTATCAATACTTTATTTTTGTTTTGGTTTGTTTATAACCCCCATTACTTTTCACCGCTTATGACAGCTTAGAGTAATTGAGTGGAAGTTACATAAGCTATGTGATAATTAGCCCTTAAATCTAGGTCTATCACAATATTATCCCCCGGACATTCCCATTCCCATCCCACTTTATAAAACACGAATTTAAATACAAGTAGTACATCAAGATTTATATCATCTCTTTTTACTAAATATTTATTAAATGATTTGCACAAGTAAAAACAATATTAAAATAGTAATATTTAAGTAACAAAAACAAACATAAAAAGACAATATGAATTACATACATTAAGCCATTAAGTTTACTAAATATAAATATAATTTGCTAATTTTTAGTTACTATCTTCTTCTTATATAAAATATATGTAGAACACATAGATCTCATAAGGTACTGATATGTGACATGTTACCAGCTCTACAGATACTTGGCGGCCAGTAAGGAAATGAAGGTTAAAGAAAATCCCAGATTTTTGCTCACTGCACTATTGCATAAATCTGTTGAGCAAAAGCACGAATATGACTTATCAAAATTAAAGCACTTATTATAATTACTATCCTCAGGTTTAGTATAACAGCCACGAGACACGTCCTCAGGCGAAGTAGTAACATATTTCTGGCGGGAAAAAGCAACATAATTGTTACTGTTTATTCATTTGTGCATGTTAAAAGTTTTACTGTAATTAATTATTAACATTTCTATGACCGCAATGAAGTAGTGCTACATTACATTTAATGGATCTTTCCGTAGTGTCAATCAAAATTTAAACAACTGACCAATCAGGACAGGGCCATGAACACGCGCGTGTCTATAACAAGCACACGTGTTGTCACCAAACGCACGTGTCTATGTTTTAGATGCTTCAGAGTTTAATACAAGACATGCTTTAATAGATATCCCTAAAATTACAGTAGATGCAACTATGACCATGTCAACATTTTTGAAAACGTAAAAATGAACTACATAGTGTTTTATTCTAAATACTCAATTGCATATCTTTAAGGATCATAAAAAAGTAGAAACCAAGACAAGGAAATAAGACGAAGGGATAATATCTGGTTGGATAACATTTGGAAGGCATTGTAATGGCATAGGAAGCAGAGTCGTGGAACCTATCGTCAAAAATGGAAAAAAAACTAGCAGCTGTACAACGAAAAATGAAAATGAGTATGCAAAATATCAAATATAAGAATAGAAAAACTAAAAAGTACTGGACATATGGATAGGACATATCTGCATATGGACCATGGCACATCAGGACAGACAACAGATGGAGTACAGTTACAGTCTAGACACAATTCATGAGAAAAAAAAAATGATGATGATGATGATGATGATGATGATGATGATGATGATGATGATGATGATGATGATGATGATGATGATGATGATGACGATGAGCCACCAGTTTAGCAAACTGAGCTGCTCTCTATACAATCGGTTATGAGTTACACTTACCCAACACACTTCATTTTCGGCACATGTCGTCTGTATAGATTTCGAACGGTCAAATTCTGAAATCCCACAGCTGCTACTGCATGTGGGACATGAATCGCTGCTGCATTTGTAGCATTTCAGACCCTTTGCTGAAAAAAAAACTTGAATATAGGCTAATCTAAAAATTACAAACTGATGCCTAATTATCGGGTATCTATCAAAACGAAGACCGAAATCCGAAAACCCCCAAAAAACGAAGACCTCTATGTTTCTCTTTTATTTTTATACAATAATAAACCAGGCTGTCGCAAAATCAAAATTACGAGACTATTTGGACCTCCGTTTGTAAAAAAATTTCCAAGGGTCTTCGTTTTGCAAATATGGGTGTCTACAAATATGGGCGTCTACAAAACTAAGACAAAAGATTTTAAAAAAAAACGAAGACCTCCATTTTTTCTCAAATATCTTATTGAAAATATTTCAAAATCATCATAAAACTATCGCCAAGTAACTCTTTCATTATTTCATCTGAGTAAAATAAGGAATATCAAGAAATAACTAGGGTCTTCGTGTTATAGCTAGACGCCCTATATGTGTGTCTACATAACGAAGACCGAAGAGCTGAAAAACGAAGACCCGCATTTGTTCTCTTTAATTTTAATGAAAATATATCAGTCACAAAGTCAAATTTACAAAGACCTATATTTTTCTTCTCTTTTATTTCAATGATACTACACCACAGGGGTGGCGCCAGCGGGGGAGAAGTGCAGGGCCTCCTCTCCTCTCAGGGAAAAACCATGCTGCAACGTTGTATTTCGTAATTTTCTGACATATCTATCCAATAATCATCGTTTTGTGTTTTTTGTGTAAGGCTGGTATTGTGAGAAAACAGTTTCAAATGTTCTAAACTACACTATTATACTGCTGTTTGCACATAACGACCGAAGCACTTTTGGTTTATAACAGTTCAACACTTTGCTGAATCTTCTTAAATTCAAGTCAAGTGTGAACGTTTCTGTATGTAATGTTCATAGCAAGTAAAATCATTATACTCACCAGAAGCAAAACAAAAGAGGATTAGAGGTACCACAGAAAACTTCATTATTGCTTCTCATAAACTGTGAATCACTAAAATTAAAACAAAAGTATTTGACATAATATTTGTCCATAATAGCGTTCCCCCCCCCCCTTTTTTTTTAAATCAATATTTCGATATTCAGATTATAGTTATACGCAACACCACTTATGCCCATTAGCAGCAGTTCCCTTCTTAACATCTTGGGTCCTGCGGCTTCATATAAGGACATTTGTTTGGGTCAAGGTAATTTTGTTATTATTAACACTAGCTGGCTGTTTTTCAGTTTCAGTTTTATTGGTTCTCACTTTTTCAACAATGGCACACACTATACAGTGGTGTGATCAAACAATAAAAAATAATGGTAAACAGAAACATCAGAGAATTTAACAAAAAATATTAAAGAAAAGAATAACATAAAAAGTACAAAATTCAAATCTCAATTGTGATAAATATTAAGCAAAGGTTGTCCAACGTTTAAGCATATGTATTGCAGCAAAAGCAAGTTTGAAATTAACTAAAACAAAACAGTGTTACAGCATGGGGTTACAGTATCGAACAATGAGAATACAGTATTATTATAACTAGGCAACTTATTAAGATACATAATAGTATTAATAAAAATTAACATACAATAAATGCGTACTGTATACGTACATAATACAGAGATATATATATATACATATAGGCATATATATATATATATATATTTATATATATATATAAGCAAAGC